GCCTTCATGAGGGGATTGGTGTCCTTATAAGAAAGAGACATCAGAGAGAGATACGAATCTCTCTTTCTCTCTCACTCTCTCAGAAAGATGGTGGCTGCCTACAAGCCCAGAGAAGAGGCCTCAGAATGAAACCTACCTTGCCAGCACCTTGATCTTAGGCTTTCCAGCATCCAGACTGTAAGAAAATAAACTCCTGTTGTTTAAGCCACCCAGTCTATGGTATTTTTTTTATGGCAGCCTTAACTGATTAAGACATCATCAGGGAGAGTGGGAGGGAGGGAGACACAAGAGGGAAGACATATGGGAACATATGTATATGTATAAATGATTCACTTTGTTATAAAGCAGAAACTAACACACCATTGTAAAGCAATTATACCCCAATAAAGATGTTTAAAAAAATAAATAAATAAATAAAAAACAAAACAAAACAAAAAGACATCATCAAAACTTGATGACAGGTATTTAACCTGTCTTTCCTAGCAAACTTCACTATGGTATTAGAAACTGGTGCCTGAAACTCAGCAACATGTTGAGTAAGAAATGATCCTTACAGGTTTTCTTTCAAGGAATGGAAAGATTTGTAATCAACTTGCCAGTTGTTAACATGGTAGTAAAATTTTATTAGGGCTTCATAATCTAAAACTCACTCTAAACCAATTTGGAATTTTGGGCAGTTTTTCTTGTAAAATGGCTATAGATGACATTAGCTTGAACATCCTGAATGTTGTTAACAGTATTAACTGTTCATTAATTCAACAAAATTTTACTGAGCACCTCCTTTATCTCAGGCATCAGTCTAAGCACGAAGCAGTAGTGATAAACAAAGACAAAGCCCCTGCTCTTAAAAAGATAAGCAGGACTTCCCTGGTGGTGCAGTGGTTAAGAATCCTCCTGCCAATTCAGGGGACATGGGTTCCAGCCCTGGCCTGGGAAGATCTTACATGCTGCAGAGCAACTACTGAGCCTGCACTCTAGAGCCCACGAGCCATAGCTACTGAGCCTGCGTGCCACAACAACTGAAGCCCTCGCGCCTAGAGCCCGTGCTCTGCAACAAGAGAAGCCACCACAATGAGAAGCCTGCACACTGCAATGAAGAGTAGCCCAGGCTCACTGCAACTAGAGAAAGCCTGTGTGCAGCAATGAAGACCCAACACAGCCAAAAGTTAATTTGATTTTTAAAAAAAAGATAAGCAAAGTTATTTCACACAACATTAACTGTTATGAGGAAAATAATATAAAGTAATAGAGTGTCAGGAAAAAGGTTTTCAACTTCAGTTGGCTAACTACAGAGAAAGTGACATTTGAACTGAGGCCTACATGACAAGAAAGCTTGCCATGTGAAGATTTAGGGCAGAGAAAAGAAAAACTGTTAGAAGAGGTCTGAACAGATGTGGTCTAAAAATTGAAAATGTCAGACAAGGGTAGCTAGAAAGCAAAGGCCTTCCCATAAGGAGTCTAGTGAACAGACAGAATCTAATGCACCAGAGTCCTAATACGATTTAATTCTACATACCACCACCTAATCATTTTAAGTTGGGATCATGGAGGTGCATCTCCCTCCTTCCTTTCTCAGACCCCAATTTCAGGCTTAGTCACTCTTGTAAGTATCTGAGAATAGATAGGAAGGAGCCTTCCTAGGGGGTTAGAGAGGTAGTCCTGGGCAGAGGGAAGAGTTCACAGTTCTACATCAGAAAACCGCTCACATGTACGTAAGAGGTGATGATTGCTATCCCCAGGTGTCCTGAGTTGTAAATGTAGTTCCCAGATTTCTCTCCCTGGTCTAGTGCTGCCTATTCTTTAAAAGGCACGATGTGCTGTCTCTGTTACGACTTCTGTTTTGTTAACAGTTCTTTTCATAGCAAGGAACAGAAAGCAATTCAAGCTAGCTCATAAACAGTCGGCTTACAGTAAGGTTATTGTCAGATCTTACAGGAGTCCACAAAAGAGCTGAAGAACTCTTTCTCAGTAATGAGTCTGCTTTCCCATAATGTCTCCATACATGTCGCCCCACAATGGTTGAGTTAGCCCCATTGTTACACAGTCTTTCAGTTTAAAGGTCCTTCACATGCTCTACAATATCTAAAAGGAGGAATCTGATCAATTTAGCTCAACTTTTTAACCAAGCCAATCAAGTCACAAATTGCCAGATTAACTGGTCAAACCACCAATGTCCTAAAGGGAAGTTCACTCATCTGAGTCTGTAGCTAGAATGAAATTTTCTGAACAGGGGCCAATACAAGTAAGTCCAGCTCACTAATTCTAATAGCAACATGTCGGGTTGTTTTAAGATCTTGAGAAACCCTTGCTATTCTTACTTATAGAGGATCTTCCCGGCATCATATCTAGCATACTTTAAATGCTCACACATTCCACGTTAGAGATTATGCAATCTATTTTACAGTTGAGTTGCAGCTGAGTAGTGGACAGTATTACATGGAAATTTTGCAGTATTTTAAGTTTTTTCTGTATTTCAGAGTTAATTTTAAGAGTGTAGACATTTCATAGCCTCCTGAAAAGCTTATAGGCACACAGGCATGGCCCGGAAACAAAACATAATCCCTGAACAAAGAAATAGCTCCTTGATTACTGTCAAGTACTTAAGAGTCTTGGCTTTTAAGGTATTATTAAATAATCACATTTTTGGCTGATAAATTCTGGATGAAAGATATCCTCATTTACCTGTTTATTCGTCTGCATGTGAATATGTGCTGACATATGTGAATGCATCCTGTGTTTATGTTGTCTTCTATGTTGTGTGTAAGCTGTAATGGGAAAACTAATTATTAAACTCTGCAAATACACCCAGAGGCTACTGTGAGCGATGCAGCCAAAAAAAAATCTAAAAATAACTATGTAATAAATAACCATTTGCAGATGGGAATTGTTCGTGTGTTTTTCTAAACAATAGCAGGTTTCTTTAAGGCATTACGGAATTTTTCCTGACGTTTTTACTAGGTGCACTAAATCTTCCATACTTAAAGACAGATAATTTGAATAAGAGTGTGATAAAATTGACTAGATCCAAATTAAAGTTATTTTTAGGACAATATTGAAAGCAATAGACAATTGCTTTATTCTTAGAATAGATTCATACATGCATATTCTCCTGTGTTAGTTAAAAGCATCAAGAGAGTCATTTCTAAGAGGCAGAGCATTCCAGCAATTATTTTAGAATACTACATTGCCAAAAATGTAAAGACCACTCTTCAAAATAATATCTTGATTGCTTAGTGTTTTATTTCTTCAGGTTCACTCAGGAGAAAAAATTTTTAAAAAAGGAGACTAAACTAGAGCTTAAAAGTTATAGGAATATGTTGCAGAAATATTTAAGTGAGAAAGCTGCAAAGTGTACAGCAAGAGACTTACTGAAAAATGCAAGAGAATTGGGTGTTTCTTGGCAGCAGTGATATACCAAACTTTATAAACAATTAAAATAATATTAAATAATTGCCAAAATTTAAAATCAACTTACAGAAGAGTGGGCTTGACATGTGATAATCTGAGATGGTTTCTTCTACCTGGGACCAAAGTATTTGGTGCAGCCTTTCAAGACAGCTCTGGTTCATACAATCTTCTGCCACCACTAATGTATATGTAGTTAGTGGTCTAGTCACGTGCCTCAAACGTAGCTCAACAGAGTCCCTGTACTAATAATATGTTTAATAACTATTAATTTTCCTGCTCAAGACAGAGCATCTCCATCAAATGATGAACTTTGGCTCCAGTTTCAAGCTTAAAGAAAAAATATACTATATTCTCCTCTTTAACTCATGGGAAGTTATTGAATATTTCATTCCTAAGTTGAATGTGATACATGCAAAGAATAATTTGACTTGTTTATGGTGATATACAGATTACAAGTTAAGAGCATAGCCTCTAAAACCAGCAAATCTCCATCCATTACTAGATGTATGACCTTGATTAGGTTTCTTAAGTTTTCTAAATGGAATGTTCTCAACCACAAAGCGAGAACAATGATACATACTTGATAAGGTTGTTGTACGAACTGAAGAAGACAAATTATGTGAAAGACAAAATGCACAGGACAACTGAGGAGACGATTTATTCGAGCCATTACAATATGGAGATTATTCATTAATGAGGAGAGTCTCAAATAAAAGGAAGGGGGCTGGGGGTTTTATAGAAGCAGAAGCAGATAAACAAAGGACTCATCCTAGAATCCTACAGGGGTCATGAGGAAAGATGGAGGTGAGTCTTACCCTGTAATATGCAAATAGAATAAAAATCTATGTGTATATTATGCTCAATGCTGATAAATCAGAGAAAACATAGCTGTTTTTATTAAACAAAAAAATGTTAAACAATTCTTATTTGCCAAAGGTTTACCTAAATTATTTGAGCTTGAAATCATAAAACATTTCTGATTTGGTTTCTGTAAGGATACTTTTAAAATTTGGCACATTGAAAATCTTAATAGTTCAACTTCCTTAATTCCTGGGAATTTTAGGAATATTCAACTTAAATAGCAATAATTTACCTCTAAGCCAATCAGAATAGAATGCCTTAAGGAGCTCTTTAAGGTTGAATCAAATTTGGTAGTTCCATCTGGAGGTAGGAAATATCACACACTCACACAATGAGATTGGTAAAGGCCTTTCTGAATAACACATAAATACACAGAAAGAGAGAAAGCTTACGACTTCAATTCTAAAATTTCTGTCATGGGTCAAACATAAACACAGAAATGCAAAGAACTGTTCTCTTCCCGCTGGGTATAAGTTCTTAATTGATTTGCACTCCAAACAGACAAACAGGCAAGACTAACAACCCAGAGTCTCTGTTGTCTTTCACCTGACAGAGACAAGATCTTTATAAACCATTAGTTTCTTTACAGAGACCACTAAATGGTCAGACCACAAAACCAAAAGAAGCTGGCAGCAGAAATCAGGCATGTGTTCAAAAAGAATCAAAATCAAATCCTTACCGTGCTACCGATGGACACGAGTCTATTGCACAGGAGCAGGAGTTGGACTTACCATTGGGTCACCAATCACTAGCCAGGAGCAGAGGACAAAGGGCTCCAAAAGTCCTTTACTGGGTGGAGTAAACGGGGATCCAAAAGTGAGGCCATCATATCAGAGTTACAGTACCAAACTGTGAAAGACAAATGCAGAAAAGATTATTTTATATAAACTATTACAATAGGAAGAATATTCATAAATGAGGAATGTCTCAAAGAACAGGAGGGACCCTGGGATTTTTTAGCGACCAATAAGCAAGAAGGTTATCCTGGAGTTTATGGGAGTCCTTGGGAAGGAGGCAAGTGGGTCTTAACTCAAAATACACCAGCACAGGGTGGTCATTTAAGGGTAGGAAGATTTCTTAACCATTATTTGCTTTCCAGGAGCAAAGGGCTCAGATAAAGTTCAGCATTGTGCATAGCACAGGGAGATCAGCTTGGTTCTTTGTGTCCACCTAGAGGGGTGGGATAGGGAGGGTGGGAGGGAGATGCAAGAAGGAGGAGATATGGGGATATATGTATATGTATAGCTGATTCACTTTGTTATACAGTAGAAACTAACACACCATTGTAAAGCAATTACACTCCAATAAAGATGTTAAAAAAAAAGGTTCAGCATTGTCACATTGTCAATTTTGTAAAATGTTTACTCATGAAGAGCAAAGTGTTGGCAATTATTGTTGGAGAGGGCGGTGCATTTAACAGTACACTTTACATTTTTTGTGTAGAGTCAAATACTGACTATCCTTTACCAGCTGTATGACTTTGGGGAAATTACATAATTTCTCTGATTTTTAATTTTCTTATCAGTTCATTGGGCATAAAAATAGTGGCTTCTTCATAAAACTGTTGTGAAGAGCAAATAGGTTAAAAATGAAAAATTCTAAGACCAGGTTCTCACCTGGTGAGCACTCATAAACAATGGCTAACTATTAACATTACTATTTAGAACTGAATGAATGCCATTAGAAAATGGTTCATTTTTTTACTTCTGAAACCCACCTGACAAAGTAAACATTTCTAGAGCACAAGGATTCACTTTTTTATTTGCCAGATCATTTTGGTAATTTTAACAGTAGAGGGACATTTTGAATTTATTTCTTTAAAAAGTTCTGCTATTGTAAAGGAAACAGGAAATTAATTGCCCTTAAATAATTAACTAAATATTAACAAATTAAACCAAAATCAAAGTTGGAGAAAACTAAATGGCATTTGCCTCTGTTGTGTTAAAATCCATAATTCTGCTGTTTTCCAGCTGAGCTGATATAAACTAGAAAACTGATTGATAATAGTTAGAGAAAAATTTTTTTTTTTTGCTGTATGCGGGCCTCTCACTGTTGTGGCCTCTCCCGTTGTGGAGCACAGGCTCTGGACGCACAGGCTCAGCGGCCATGGCTCACAGGGCCAGCCGCTCCGCAGCATGTGGGATCTTCGCGGACAGGGGCACGAACCAGTGTCCCCTGCATCGGCAGGCGGACTCTCAACCACAGCGCCACCAGGGAAGCCCGAGAAAAAAAATTTTTTAAAGCTTGTCATCTTCTTTTCCTTTTAATGAGTGAAATTAATGGTAAAGAAACCTTATCAGATCATTGTTTATGTGAACTTGGTTCTGGGAGGATAAAAGGTTTTGCTGTTTAACAATAGCAAATAAAGCAGTCCTAGACATTCTTGAACGAACATGTAATTCTCTCCTTCTAGAGCACAGAGAGCTTTGTCACAGGGTTCAGAGTCTATCTCTAAAAATTCTCAGCCTCTGGCTGAGGCTATTAATTGTACCTCATTTAATGACCTTTAAAATACCAAGAAGGAAAACACTTTATGCTGATTTCCTTGACTCCCTATCTTTGATGAAGACTAGTTTAAAAGAGGGAAAGGGATGAGATGAGGGAGAAGTTTGTATTATTTTGACTGGAGTCTCTCAATTGGTTTACATCTGCATTGCTGATGGGACCAAAATGATAGCTATTGGCTAAAGAACTCTTTAAATCATCCAGTACAAGACCAAAAAAATGTTTTTCATTCTAAGGATTCAGCATCATAATAGACCATCATAGAAAGCACAAGTATGGCCTTAAGAAGCTTCAAATCCACCTACATGCTTGGGAAGGCAAGACCAGCCCTGACATGATACAGTGGCAAATATATAAGATAACATACAAGTTTTTCTGGTCTTGGAAGTCAGACAGCTTTGGCTCAAATTCTGAATGCATCAATAATAGACCATCACTTGACCATGGACAATTAGCTGTAAAATTTATTTTCTTCATCTGAAAAAGGAGAATAAAGGAAGTACACACATTGTGGAATTGCTTTGATGATTAAAAGAGAAAATGTAAGTACTCAGTTCCTGGCCCTTGGTAAGTATTCTAATGAATGTTAGCCACAGTTGTAGTGATATAGTAAAACAGTATATAAGTAGTGTATATTATAAAGAATTTATATATAGGCTAGAGGCATAGCCTACAATTAATTTATCTGATAGCATATAATTAAATAGTGTTTATGGTGGTACAGATATAAATGTTATACCAAGTCAAAGGAAGGAAGAACAGTGGGGGTATCAAAAGGAAACTTAATGCTCTTGGTACCATGCCTGGCAAGTAATAAGGACTCAATATATGTTAGATACTTTTACTATCACTGCTAATTGATTTAGTAGGCTTTGCAGAGGAGGTTAAACTTGAGCTGAATGTTAAAGATGGGTAAGATAAGACTAGCAAAGCATCCCTCAAGTAAAGACAATAGCAGGAGTGAAGTTACTGATATGGGTATTAGCATGACACAGCCCATCAAGGTAAAGACAGTAGTCTAAAGAGAACCAGTGGGAATATGCTCTGATTTCTCCATCAACAAGTCATTATCATTACTTTCCTCATTATTAAGAGCTGCTATTCCTTATAGTGTTTGGTGCCGCTGACTATATGCAGTGAGCTGAATGATGGACACCAAAGAGATATGTCCTCCAATGTCCTAATCCCCAGAATCTGTAAACATGACCTTATTTGGAAAAAAAGATCTTTGCAGATGTAATTAAGATCTTGAGGGACTTCCCTGGTGGTCCAGTGGGTAAGACTCTGCGCTCCCGATGCAGGGAGCCTGGGTTCAATCCCTGGTCGGGGAACTAGATCCCACATGCATGTCGAAACTGAGAGTTCGCATGCCACAACTAAGAAGTCCTCATGCTGCAACTAAAAGATCCCACATGCCGCAATTAAGACCCGGTGCAGCCAAGATAAACAAACAAACAAAAAACTCAATAAACATTTTTTTAAAAAGGAAAAATTGCAATAAAATTTGAAAGAAAAAGATCTTGAGATAAAGAGATCATCCTGGTTTATCCAGGTGGGCTCTAAATCTGATGACAAGTGTCCTTATAAAAGATGCACAAGAGAGATCCACAGAGAAGGGAAGGGAACAACACGGCCACAGGGGCAGAGACTGGAGTGATGACGCCACAAGCCAAGAATTCCCAACAGCCACCAAAACCTGGGAGAGGCAAGGAACAGAATCTCCTCTAGAGGCAAAGCACTGCTGTCATGTTGATTTTGAACTTCTGGACTCTAAAAGTATGGAAGAATAAATTTCTATTTCTTGGTTTAACCACCAAATTTGTGACACTTTCTTACAGCTGCTGCAGAAAACGAATACACTATGCCAAACTTTTTCTTTATTTAACTTAAAAGTCATCTATAACAACGTAGATGTTATGATCACCATTTACAGGGGCTACAGCAATGTTTGCCAGGCATGTTAATCTAGTGGGAGGGTCAAGAAAGACTTCTTAAAGGAAGAAGCGTCTAAATTGCAATCAGTTGATTGGGTAGGAGTTAGCTGCTGAGACAGAGCTGAGAGGGGTGTTAAGTAGGTGGAGAGCCTAGATCAAAGGACAAGGAACTAAACAAAGTTTGGAGAGGCTGGGGAACATAACACGAGCATCTTAGATGCAGCACTACGGCCTGACCAAGGGTGGAGGATCAGCCTGGGCCTGGTAAGTTTCCCTAAAAACAGAAAGAGCCTGGCTGTAGGAGTGGCCACACGTCTGAGACTCGAATAACAATCAGAGGTCAGATTCTCTTTGTTTTATCAGCCAATCTACTGCTCTTGTGATAAATAATTGATAGGCCTGGATTATTTTAAACCTGTGAGGGTATGGGAGGGGTAGGGAGAGAGAAAGGAGATAAAATACACATGGAAGTTGGCATATGCTCTCCAGGGTTTTGCAGAAACCAGGTGGTAGCCCCTCAAAAAAATCAATAACCACTGCTTCTATTTGTGGCTCTGTTTCCACAGAAACATGTTTGTGGGTGAATTTGGAAGGCGGATTTACAATGCCAAGCCACCAGTCCAAAAAAGAGAAAAATTCCGTTCAAATAAACTTTTTACTGTAGTAACAAATGTTTGATTTTACTAACTTTTTCCATTTAATTAACTGAATTTGGAAGGGATTATGAAATAAAGTCAGCCATGCTCCTGTAGGCACAATAATACTGAAATCTGGAAGCAATATTAGCTTCAGTATAAGCAGAATACATAGAAGGTGGAGAAAAAGGTTTGATTGGCCTGTCAAGTGGAACTTATTTGCAAAAATAATGAATAGAGTCAACTTTAAGACACTGTGCTAGTGAGGTTAACACTGATTAAAAGGAAAAAAAACTCACTTCACTCTTGTGCCTTCTTAAATCTTAAATGTTATACCATGCATGTTGTAGGCACATGGTTAAAAATGTTCTTGAAATTATCTGCCACAAGCAATTTATATATGACTCTTTACCTCAGGCAATATAAGATCCTTCCTAATATCCATTCTTTAATACTATAGAATGAGTACATTTTAGTATTTTCCTTAGTATCAAACCTAAAATACTCGAAGTACTAAGTACTTTTATCATTAAAATATGTGAATTTGTCATAGTTCATTTTTTAAGGCGTTTTTTAAGAGTAATTTTAGGTTTACAACAAAATTCAGAGGGAGGCACAGAGATTTCCCATGACCCAGGTCCCCACACATGCATAGTCTCCCTCATTGTGAACATCACTCACTAGAATAGTACATTTTCTTTTACCATGGATGAGCCTACATTGACAGAGCATAATCAGCCAAAGTCCTAAGTTTACCTTAGGGTTCACTCTCGGT